GTTATCAATTTATAATTGGTAGGAACATAATATTATGTTAACATATGTGTTAATCAAAAATACAAAAGGTACATCTGAAAATGCAAAAAGTTATTGGCGTACATATCATCAAATATATGATACAAAAGTACCATATGGTAACCATATGGTTATATGTGATGCGTCTGGATTCTGTAAATCTAGAAATATAATTGCATTGTAGAGTTGTGAAATCCGCTGGATACGTCTTATCACGTATATAATCTTATATACATAACAATGCAACAAACAGTAGTATAATGCACAATTTATTGTATTGTAAAGGTATTAATTGACCATAATAATCTAATAGCCACCGTATCATAATATCATATCACACCCAGACCCACCTTTTTGACAATAATTATGTTCATACATACCACTTGTTCCAAATTGAGATAAAATATCTATCATAATGTACAACTATTAATTTATCAATACATTCTCTGTTATCTATTCTTAATTCTTTGTTTTACCCTAAATAATTTCAAACAGTCACCCTTTTATTGCATTCCTTTTTATTAATTTACATAATGTACACAAAACATTTTTGTTTTGTTACTAAACAGTTATTTTTCTTCATCTTATTAAGATTTAACCAGGCTGATTCTTAATTATTATTTTTTTTTAATTCATCTGATATACAGAATAGTATGTTTTTTTATCAGAAAGTAAATTCTATTTATTCAATTAAAAAAGTTTAAAAAGAATATTAGGTTAAGATATTTTTAAACATTGTTTACCTTTTATTAAATAAAATGTATTTCATTATTATTAAATTTTAATGTAAATGTAAAACCCAAATTGTTTATAAATTAATAAATCTGTAAGAAAAACCTCTAAAACAGTATCTAAAATTTATTTTTTTCAATAAACATACTGATATTTAACAAAATTGAATGAATTATCGTAAGAATTACAACACAAAATAAATTAATATGCCTAGTGGCTAGTACCTAATTATAAATTATCAATGTATCACGAACAATTATTGTTAAACACGATTAATGCAATAATCACAATATAATATAGTAATGCATAATTTTGTGTTAATATAAATATCAAAATCAAACAATTCATTTTGTCCAAAAATTAATTATTAACAGTTCTTCAAACTTTTAACGGACTAACCTTATTTTTTTAAGTATTTTAAATTTCAAGAAAGAAAGGCAAATAAATCGTTAAACAAACACAATCTTATCTTCTAAGTGTTTGTTAAACGTTAATTACATTTCTTAAGATCCGCATATTAATTACATAAATCATTTTGGGACGTCACAGATGGTACTAAACTTCTAGAAGTATATTAGGATATATTAGCTAAAATAATGCATTACAATTGTCATTATTTTTAAATTGAAATGGTTTATGTTATGTATAAACAATTAGTTTTTTATTTTTCTGTAAGATTTTATTTTTATTCATTAGAGTACAATATGAAAATCGTATTTAACTAACTCTATATTAATAAAATGTTTAAAGATAAACATTCGAGTTCAAATAATACCTATTTAAACAATATAAAACAATATAAATCGAATAATAATTTTAGTCAGGGTTATTTTAATAAAATATTAATTCTTCGTAATCAAGTAATAAGATTATATTTTTAGTTGGACATTGTTTGAACGCAGGTACACTAAAAGCATATCATATTTATCACGAATTATTATTAAGCATGCTAGTTGTATTTTTTAAACCATACGATATTTATATTTATTGAGCAATTTAATATTTACTTATACTACAATGATAAAACTAAAAAAGCCGTTAAACTGTATATTATTAATTTTTCAAATTTAAATTTATAAAACTTAATGATATTGCATAAATTAGTTATAAAACGTACATACTTATTTATCCATGATAAAAAGTTGGTTTTATTTTTTGATTATTTACATACACTTAAAATATTCTTATACCTAAGTTCAATTTAAACCATATAATATATACACATTAGAACATATTAAGAATTCAGTATAATTGTCTAAATGAAATAATTTAAACCTGATACCTATATAATTATTATTTCAATTGAAAATTATTTAGGGCTATTGAAATGAAAGTCACGTACAAAACGCAATGGTTTTCTTTCGTAGATTTTATGTGATTTTTTTTTTTACAATCCTAAAAGTCGTATTTTATCAATGTGCTAAATCCAATCCATAGAATAAATGGTCATTAATATTAACCTTGTTTTATTGTATACTAGACCCATAAGAGATAGTTATCGATTCAATTAGTAAATTTGATGGTAAGAAAAATCGTTGAAATCACTCTAACGTAGAATAGATTACATTTATGTAAGTATACTTCGCATTAAGTAAATCCTATAATGGATAAGTTGAATTTGAATTCAATGATAAACCGTAATTTACAAAAAACGATAATGAGTTTAAGAGATGAGGTGACCAACATAATATATTTTGAACAATAATTTATATATTATACTATAATAAGTATTTTGAGTTTAAATAATTTAGTAAGTTTGAACAAGTTTTTGGCAATACCTTAAAATACAAAAAAAAATATGAACATAAGTACTTCAGAATGATATGTAATATTTTGAAAATTGTACTCATTATACAAAAATAAAATTTAAAAAAGTTAATGTATGTATTTGAATTATTTAAAAACAGCAAAAATTATAATTTTTGTGCAAATATCCAATTTTGTTAAAAAATTAGAACTACAAACGCTTATAAAAAAAGATTTTATTTATATGTTTTTGATACTTTTAGTGAAAACTTTTTTAAAAACTTGTACACAATGTTCAAGCTTTTAAACTAGGAACAAACATTTTTTAAACATAAATTTAAAATCTGTATATACTCAAAAATAATCGAAATATTTTTTGAAATATATCATTTTGTATAGATATGTTAGTAGGTATAAAGTATAATATTTTGTGAAAATTGCAAGTCAAAAATAAAAATCAATTATGTTGAAAACTGGTGTTGAGTAAATATTCCCGCCATCCCGTTGTCTACTTACCGAGAATTTTCTTTATTTTACCACACACAAAATTAGATTCGATTTGCTACCAGAAACTACCCTCAATATTGAAAATTGTAGCTTTTTTCTGCTCCAGTATGTGTCGTTGGATACAAAATATCACTCCACTGTGAATCCAAAATGGAACTTCCCTATTTTACACATAAATATTGCTATACATAGCTAGTATTGTGTTTATTGAACTGGTAACCAAAACGAAATGTCGTTAAGAATAATACGTTGATCAGTTAGTAGTTACATACAAAAACTATCCATTCTTTAAACAACGACAAAACAAGTAAAATTGTATATTATAAAAATAAATCGGTTTTTAAATAGTGTTTCTGCTTTTTAGATGATATGATATTGTCCGCATGTATTTGCCGCCGATGAATAAATTACGGTTTTGATTTAACATACGAGACCAAATTCTATGGCAAAAAAAACAAATATAATTTCTTTTGATGTTTAGATTGTATGGTAAATATGCACGCCATACGCAAGTTATGGAATTCATATTTTGTTTGATACTCTTGGTAATCGTAATAATAAAATATAAAATAAAATGAAACAACCATATACAGAGGGAGCCTTGCACATTTTTTCAACACAATTATTTGCAAACAGTTTTTACGTCACCCCTTAATACTGGCTTTGTTCACCAATTTATTTTTCACAGGTATCATTTTACTGTGCCTATACCAAAAGAATAATAATGGTCTAAAGTATACTATATATACTAAACATACAGGGTACTTCACCATATACCCCACCATATAGTTTATATTTTTTTAATAGAGCATTTATTCGATTTCTGATTTTTAAAATTATGAAGATAAAACGTATTTTAGCATACTTAAAGGTAACATGTTTCAATACACAATTTTTAATACTTTTTAAAAATATTGTTCTATTGCTGTATAAACTATTTTTTATCAAATAGAAGCACTCCTTTTAAATGTAAATGAGTTCTGATATTTAATACAAATTATAAAATTGATAAACTTAATCTAATTCGTACAAAAATATACTTAGACATTTTTATAAGAAATGTTCTCATCTAAACAAAAAAGTTTTATCACCATAGGAAACTCCTGAAACTATACAAAATATCTAAGTATTGTGAAATAAGGTCTTTAAATGCCTATACGGTTATACATAAAAATTTAAATAACAGAATATGAAAGTATAGTTTTAAAAAAATGTGGATGAGTACACTTGGTGTTTAACGCCCTATACATAGTTTTTGGAGCATTTTCATGATATATACGATATGATATTATATTAATGTACCCCTTAAATAGATTTATTTAACTGAAAATAATATTATTATTAAAAGTCCAAAAATGTCACCCACGTTTGTTGTATATATTGAGATTAATTATAGACAAATTAGGTCAAAAGATTTACGGACACCTATCCATTTTCACCAGATTAATACAATGATATTTAAGAACGGAAATTAGTTATGCCTCGTGGTGTTTCTTTTCTTACTAAAAATAAAATATGATCCGGTCAATGTATTTGAATTTAACTCTTACTGACAACATCATTATATAACGGTGCTATGGTGGTGAATAGTTTGATTCATTGCTAGTTGCCAAGGCTGTATTCATTTATTAGAGGGAAAATATCGCCGAGTGAAAAATTCCTAAATAACAGTGATCTTTAAAGTCTCGTATATTTCAAGAGATAAGGAACTTAATATTTTTGTAGGTCTTAGTGATTTATTTATAAACGGGGAAAAGCGGAGGGAATCCGACGAACGTCCGTAATCCGTTTGATTGATAGCGAATAATGAGCGTCGACGTCGTCGTCACCGTGCGCAGCAGGGAAATTACGTTTTGTTTTTCACTGCAGTTGATATTTTGCTTTGTATTTATTTATTTTTTGGTCATTCATGTCTTACTCTTGTTGGAATTAATTTTGGATTTTGTCCATGGTATCAACATCCTAATAATGTGCATTTGCGTATTTTTTGATTTCAGGTTTCTTGGATGCGAAAACGTGACTTGCACATATTGACGTCCAGCATCCACACGTATACCGGTGACGGACGTTTCAGCGTCGTACATCCTGAAAACAGCGAACAGTGGGATTTGAAGGTGGAGTTTGTGCAAAAAAGAGATGCTGGCATATACGAGTGTCAGGTGAACACCGAGCCTAAGATCAACTTGGCTGTGCAACTGAACGTCGAAGGTAGTACGTATAACAAATCAATTTTTAATTTATGTAGGTATGATATTAATTTAGCGCATATAGTTATTAGTTAAACAGTTTCGTTTGTATATTAATTGTTTGCAGAATCGTTAAATTATGTCGTAATAACCAATGTTGGTACACATTAAGTCGTTGAATAATAAATAATTATTATTATTGTTTTAAACGCAATCAATACAATTTAACTATTACGCTTCTCAATCAGCAAAGTTTAAATTATCAACTACTTTGTATCTCAGTTATTATCCATTACGGTATAACCTAGATTCATCTTGTATGTTTCAATATTGTTTTTAATAACACAATGGTAATATAACTATTTCTTTTTAATTTTTTTTTTCTTTTTATAATCTCATTAGCTTCTGGAAATCAATTAATTATTATTACTCTAATTATCTAGTGACATACCAATAATAAATAATAACGAAAGCGATTTTCTCCATATTCTTTTTAAAAAATTGAATCTTGTTATGTATAATATTATAGTAATACACTAATATACACATTCTTACACATTTTAATACAATCATCAGTGTAAAATTATTTATGTTCGATAGAACTCCAAGAATAACATGTAGTTGAGCAGTTTCTTTAATTTGATTTTTAACAAAAATAAAATTGTATTTAAAACTTTGACCTTCATATGATCACATTTTGGATAACAATAAAATTACTAATACTAAAACTTATTCTTACAAATTAATGTAGTTCTTCGAAATATGAAAATCTAATGCAAACATCTATTATAATCAAAACTATGAGTTTAATTCACTTAATATCCATGAAATATACATGTACTGATCCACTCAAAAATAATGAAATATTCACTAAGAATTCTGAAATATGCGAAATAAATTTAATAAAATTACTTTTCAATTATGTAGTATATAGTGAAAGTTAAGTACCTACAAATAAAAAATATTTGTGAAATACTCAACATATATTATGCATGTACAAATATGTATTAGTATGACAAAAAACCCAAAATAATAGCATAAAAAAAAGAGAAATTATACGGCATTAACTTTTTTTTTTCTAAAATACCGTATTTACATATTATATCGGTACCTATTACATTTGGCTAAATCCATAATATTTCCCTAAATATGAAATAGGAACTTCGGATTAAACGATATGCATTTCATGCATTAACGTCTGAATTATGCAAAATGCAATTTTATATTTAGAATGTTAATGTGTGTTGAATCAAATTTGTGTCTCATATGTTTTGAATAATTGAAAATTCAATTTATCAATATGCATAATCTTGAAATGCACAGCTCTGATAAATATTCACAGTTAAATTATACTTAAAACAACTATTGAAACACCAAAAAATATTAAGCGAACTGTAAGAACAAATTCGTCAAAATTCTGGTTGGAAAGCAAAAAGAATCAATTCTTCTAAAGCAACAATCTCAATTTACAAACAATTTTTATTAAAATAAACAATTGCCAATGTTATAAAAAACAAACTTTATTTTTATTAAAACATAGCAAGACGAATCAATCTTCAATTCCTAGTATTTTGGTACGCAAACCAAGATAAGTCGCAACCCGCAGATAAAATATTTACACAATAAATTTATAACAGTAACAATTTGTATACTTCAGAATATATGTTCATTGTACGCATAAGTGCGAAAAAGAAAAACAATTGAACTCAATGATCCTATAGTGATAAAAAACGAAAAGGCATAAATGCATTATATTATAATTTAATTTACACTTATACAGTAATGTTTCGATTCAATCCAAAAGAAAATGATCATTTTGTATAGTAGAAAACGATTGCGTTATATCCATCCACATACAATAACTGTTGACACATTATTCGTCAATGTCTCTCTTAAATAAATAACTGTGAAAACGTGTAATGCTATAGTTTTGGCTAAAAAAAAAAGTAAGTAGGTAAATATGGAGTGTTTCTTCATGATAATGAAACTATCAGTGCATTCTCAGATCGAGTCATACATTTTTTTACTGGGTTGTTCTAAATGAAAACAAATTTATTTTTTAAATTAAAAACTATTCATATTTTAAACAAAACAAACTTTTTATTACTTTCGTTTTATGGCCTGTAAGAATAATACTCTAAGATTTTTGGTGCTTCATGAAACAAATACAAATTAACAATTCTCAAGTATTAGGACTATTTCAACTTTTGTTCCAAAAATAGTTAGAATAAACGCAATGAAGAAATATTTTCTATTACGTATAAAAGTAGTTACAAACAAATGCTATATAATATAACATACTTTAATGCATACATTTCGATTTAATTAATACGTATATTAAGTTCTTCATTTTTTATAATGTAATATGATACACCTAATATTTAAAATTCTTATTTTTATAAATTATAAAGTATGATCAATATAAAGTTATTGTTTACAGGTAGTGTTAATTTTATACTAATGTAGTATTATGTTATTTGTTCACAAGGTGATTCTTTTGCAAATAATGTAAGTAAACCAGTAATGTAAGCATTATTAGGATTATTCTATTACAATGAATATTTATATCAATAATTAAAATGTATTCGAAAGATTTGAAAACTATAAAATCCTTGATATGTTGTGAGAAATGATAGCTATTGTTTGCTTAAAATTACTATTATTACCATATTATTTGAGAATATGGTAGATTTGTAATAACGCATTTCCTGAGTATTTTCGATTGACTATATTTGTTTAGTTATCTTAGGAGTAAATAAAACAAAATCAAACTTTTCACATTCAATTATTTCTTATTTTAATTCAAACCAATCTTTATATACATAGGTACATAGCAAAAAAATTATAATTTGTAATACAATGACGATGTTTAATCATACAAAATCTCTACATCAAATGTAATTTAATATAAAACCAGTATCATTTAGGTAGAAATATAAATATTACTAAGAAAAAAGATTTGTTTTGAACCAATTATGCTCCACGAAGTAGACTCTTAAAATATGTTATTATATTTCTCACAATTGCTTCAAAATTTAATTTTGCACGTGAAACATTACCAAGTAAACTTGTTATTATAATTCAATAGCTCCAAGTCAGTTTACCATACTTTGGAAATTTTGGAGTTCTGATAAATCGACATCTCTTTCAAGTGCAATACGAATATTTTTTAAGAACATGATTTGTATATTAAAATTCGCATATCATATAGATTGACAAATTTCAACTTCTCAGAAAAAGTCGATGGTTTTGTGGAATATTATATCTTTATTGCATAATTCAAGTTTGTTTCATATTTTATGTACATTTTAACCATAGTAATTTATGACTTGCATTAAATGCAAACAACAATTTTGTGTGTAAATTGGGTTCCTATATGTTCGTCAAATATAGGTATAATTCTTAATCACGATCGCCATCGTGACATACTTTGTAATTAAAAAAATGCTAGTCCAGTGTTATTTAAATGTATAAATTCATTTTGTTGAAGATATTATAGTAAGTACTGTAAAATGCTTAGGTTAGGTAACAATAAAACTTTTATAAAATAAAATCGTTCTGCAAATAATAATACTATGTTCCTCAACACGGTTTTGTTCTTGTGGTAACTCGCGTCGTAGTAGTTATATACTGAATAACTTGAACAACACATTTATTATAAACATGCATAGTCCCAAGAAAATTATTTTGCAATAAATATGGATATGATGTTGTTGTATTATATTATTATATTATTATTATTAGAGATAATATGCATTCGATTTTATTAAGTCGATTATTATTTAAATATTATACACTCATCTGACATTTCTGTGTGTTATCATTTCCCGTTGTATGAAAGACAAAATTTCATTGCAATACAGATTATAGATGGTTGAGAGAGGAAAGTTGATACGTCTTGATCCCCTATTAGCATTTTTAACTATTTTTATCTCATAAAGTACGTACTTCCACGAACTAACGATAATAATGCAGGTTGATACTATGGGGATCAATTCACACGATCAACATAACGTATTCATTCCCGACTGTATAAATTATCGCTAAGACTGAACAAAAAAGAAATAAATAAAAAAAGAAGCAATGTTGACACAAGATAACGGTAGAACAACCAATATCTTGGAGAAGAGGTTAGGGTACCATCCAAGGTATAAGAAATACTATAGTCTGGTGCAAAAAAAAATAGAAAATACTCTACACGAATTTGTGTGAAAATATCTAAGTCCGGTCGATAAATTAAATGTAGGTACAATAAACCATATTGTTTTTTCTAGTGACGACTCCGTGATAACGACATTATTATCATAAGCTCGTCTTTGTGAAAAGGCGAACAATAAAAATATAACAATACATCAACGGGTTTGGCTTATGATTTTGGTTTGTTTGTTTGTTTTTGCATTTCAACCCTTCACAGCGGCCCAAGCCAATATCCACGGGCCTCCAGAGGTGTTCGTGAAGAAGGGCAGTACCATCAGCCTCACGTGTTCGGTGAACGTGCACTCGACGCCGCCCAGCTCGGTGGTGTGGCTGCATGGCACCAAAGTAGTGGACTTTGACTCACCCCGAGGCCGTGGTGGGATCAGCCTGGAAACGGAGAAAACCGAGTCGGGCACTACCAGTAGGTTGCTGGTCACCAAGGCTGGGCTATCCGACACCGGAAACTACACGTGCCAGCCGAGCAACGCCAACACGGCCACGGTGTTTGTCCACGTGCTCAACGGTATGTCCAACCTACTGCTAGATGATATAACAACAATTTAGTTACATAGATACGTAGTTGGTCAGCTGCGTCCAAATTGGATCGCAGAGCCTAGTGGTTTTTAAGAGTAGCACATTGGTTCCAAAGGTCCATGCTCCAAGCCTTCCAGGTTACATCAGATGTATCTAGGTAGTACATTAGTTAGGACCTAATTTTCATAATTAATACAATACATTTTTCATTTCCTCATTTACTTAGGTAGGTACTTAGTTATACTTAGCTTGTACAGGGATCTGTTTTCCATTGTCTGTAATTTACATCATAATAAAAAAATAAACACAAATATGGTAGAAAATGTATCGTTTTACAAAATTTGTTGTATTGAATTACAAACTGAATAATTGTTGGATGATCATTTTTAAAGTTGTAAAAAAACATTTACCTAAGTGATATGGCTAACGTAAAGTAGCATCATTTTGTTAATGGACCGATCTAGTGTATTAGGTACCGAAATTAAAGCGGGGCCCTACTTGTCAGCTACCACCAGTAAAAACGTGTTACCAATTAGCATATAATTTTAATCTTGGGTCCAAACTAGTACAACTGTACAAGGATGTGGTGTTGTGACTTATCTACATTATATTTACATATTGATATTACATACCTATATTGCTTATTTTAAGGGCGATTGTAAATTTCACTGGTAAGTAGTCAAACTTCGGAAGGGTTCATTAGTACCAATTAAAAAAATACACTTCCAGTATTTTTGGTAGCCAGCCTAGACCATTTTTTTCAAATCCAAGTATTTAACTGAATCTGATTCTTCTGAATTCTCCCATTTAGGGTTATACATTTGTATCACCATAACAATTTATTCAATAGATGTTGAATCGGGTTAAAATAAAATATGAATTTTTTCATGGACTAGGAGTGCTTTTCCTATAAATTCCATTAGTCTAATGTTATTGTGAAATATGAGTAATTGTTATAAGTTGAATTCATAAATTATAACTTGAAATGTTTAAAAACAAAAAAAAAAAATTATGAGAGCCTGAGGCTGGCATACTAAGTATTTAGCTACTATAAATATATACATCGGTACCTAGAGATATAATATAGAGTATATTTAAATTTTTTTCATGGGAAGCATTTTAATTATAGTGTAAAAGTAATTTAAGTATTCCAATTGAACTAGGCACTTATAAAATGTAAATATTTAAAATGAATAATCTAGTCAATCATTATGAGTAATGAGTATTTTATTATTACTTTCCTAAATATATAATATTATTTGATATTGTAAAATTAATATCAACGATAGTCTTAAATTACTAAAATTAATTTTAAAAGTAATTTATATCTCATGTGTTGGTTATCATTTTCAAATATCGTAAGCTGTCAAACTGATATAACCTCTTGATTTTACTGAGAATCCTTTACAATTGTAAGCGTTTGATCTTGTATCATCCTTCGAGTACTGGTTTCTTAATGTTACCCTTTAATAAAAAAAATAACGCAAACCATTAGTTACGTTTCTTTTCTCAATCTCCTTTTCAATTAACTACGCAAATAAATGCCAAATAAATATTTCATACCATAGAGTTTTATTTTTAAAAACCACAAACTAAACTTTAAAGCTTTTTAACTTATTTAAAATATATATGACTACGAAATTAATTGTGCGTAAAATAAACCCAATTCTTGCAACTAATTTTGTAATAAAATTATAAATTATTAGAATAATTAATCAATTAGCAATATACTTCGACTAAAAAGTTAAAATTATTGAAACAGTTTTTTTTCTAAATTAAATAATTACATACTATAATCTAAATAATATTATAACAAAAGTGCAAACAATGTTCGTATGCAAAGTAAGCTTACTAATATTTCCAACAAAACATAATAACTGTAAATAATTTATTACTATATTTATTTTCATGATATATTTTTATTTTTAAATAAATAATGATCTAATAATATTTAAGCATATTACATAGATAAACCATATCTATTATTATTATTATTAAATGTGTTAAAATGAAATGTTAATATTTATTTATATATGTTTGAAAGGTATAAAAATATTGAAAAAAAAAATATTTAAAGTTTACTAATACTTGTATGTATTTTACGAACTGAAATATAAAATAATATTGTAATTTGTACAGTGTTTGGAAAAAACATCGTTCATGAAAGCACTTTCTATCGTTCCCGCTCATATGTAGCGTAGCCTCTTTTTTTTCGAATTGAACTTGAACGTGAACGACGTTTATATTTTAATGAAATTGAAAAGTTTTTAAGATGCTCAATTTATTTGCCACCTAATAAATATTTGTTTAAAATACATTGATTAATTATATTATGTAATAATATTTTCTAATTATAATTCCTACTATAAAAAATTAAAAAATTAAATGAACGACCTAGCGAACGCATTTATTTTTTCAACGGACGTAAACGAGTTAATTTTTTTAGTGAGTGTTCTGAACACTGGACTTATAGTTATCAATTATCATCTATATGTAATAGAAATACAAATATATGAACTAATAGTATAGAACAGTGGTTCTCAACCATTTTTGGTACGTGGCACACTATTATACATTACAAGTATTCAAGGCACACGCACGGGCTTGAAAATCACAGCAACTTCGGCAACTTTGCCGGAGGCAATAATTATCACCAGGCGCCTACACATGTATGACATTTCTTGCGGCACACCTAGTCGTGGTTGAGAACCACTGGTATAGAATATAGATAGATGGGCAAATGTACAAATGTATCAATTTTGACTATTTACATACACTGTATACACTGTACATTTTATATCTAAAAATATATCTCAACATATTTCAGTGGTTTTTAAATGTAAAGGCATGTGAAGAAGTTATTACTTGTAGTTTTGAATGAAATGCTTTTAATGTTAATTTTTTTTTTTTAAATTGGGTGGAGGGATTGGATGTTAAAAAAAGCTAAGCAGTTCATGTAATGCTTTTATTTATTATAATTTATAAATAGAACACATGGGGTATTTGAAAATCCAATTTTTGTAGTATACAGTATGTAATATTTTTATAAAACATAATTACTGCAAATTTAGTAAAGTAGCCCTTTTAGCTGATTTAAAAATTTAAAGAATATTTATTATGTAAAAAACAAAAATGTCAATTGTCTGCCAATGAAAATTGCTGCTGTGGTTTATTTCTAATAAAAAAAAAAAAATATTCAGTGGTTAAATAAATTTTGTTTTTTTTAAGTTTATATAGGTACTTATTATACTTATTAACTATAGCTTAAACTTAATTATTTAATTGTAAGATGTGTACTTACTGACTTTAAACTAATAAAAGATATTCACTAAAATCATATTTTAATAATTGTTGACAAAATAAACTATTTCCCCTACATGTAAATCATTATATACTTATATTATTTTAAAAATATAAATGTATGTAAATTATAGGTTACTGGCTCAATCAAAAGTTACAATAAACATAAATATTTTTGAACTGTTTAATAAACATAAAACTTTTTCGATGAATATTATAAAATATTTAATCCTAACCGGATTATTATGAAAAAGTAAATTATGATACAATATTTTATTAATTTAACTTTCTGCCTCCTGTTGCAATTCGTGCAGCTATTAATGAAACGGTCCATAACAATAATTAGGTACCTACTTCTATATTGAAAATAATTTTTAGTTTTTATCATTACAAACATTGAAATTTAAGTTTTTTTTTCAAAACTATGATATTTGATATAAAAAAAATAGCAGACCGGTTTTATGTACAATAACGTTAAGAGAGAAAAAATTCATGAACTATAATATCGATTTATATCCGATAGTTTCCATAGTGAATATGATACTCAAAAATCACTAGAGGCCTATTTTTATTTACGTATTTTGAGAGCTATTTTATACGATAAGTGCTTGAAATATAATATCATATAGCCTATAGGACTAAAACTGATTAAAAAAAACTTTTCCGATAGGTAGTTACTATATACTTTCAACAAGGTTTTTGTAAAATATATAGGTATTAACCTTGATAAATATAAATCGTCAAATATATATTTAATTATTGTGTAGTTAGTTTTTTAATATTAGAATCACACGGTCTATCAACTCAAAAGTGATAATTAGTTATTCAAATAAGTATAGTATTTAAAATATTTGTCAAAACAACCTTATTCGTTAAAAAGTATCTTTCGTCATTTTCTTTCTATTACATGACATAAAGTTGACTATAATTTACCTATTTTACCTATATGTATAGGTACATACAAAATCAGTCATATTTTTTGAATCAATACACTTTATTTATATTATATTTGACTCTGATTCTTAAAATCCAAAAATTGAGTATAAACTGTAGTATCATAAATAAATAATAAGTTATATTTGGTTTCTTCGACATCTAAAATATTTTAGTCCCTCCAATAAATTAGATGAATAAAGCTGCAGCTAGTTTGGGTAACCATTCTTTACAACATTCAAATATTGTAACTACGTGTCCAATGTTATAATTTATAACAAAAAACTTAAAATGTGTAGGGCGCTTAAAAAAATTTAAATTCAAATAGCATGCAGAACGAAGCTTTATAAACTATTTTTTTCCACACAATTCTATAAATATATACGCTATACATATTTAATATATAATATATATGTTAAGTCAATGTTTGCTGCAATTTTGTTTCAATGTTATCGATGTCACGAATCCTCAGCATATGTCTTCACACTCCATCCGAAGAGTGCTTCTAGAATATTGAAATGACTTGTGCATATGAATAATTGATGTGTTCTCACTTTTTTTTTTGTTCATCTATAGGTGAACACCCTGCCGCTATGCAACATGGTGAACACGGTGCAGGTTCTAAACTAGCAGCATGGTCTTGGACCTTAACCATGGCTGCTTTTGCTCTGTCTTATAGATGATGTTAAACAAATCATTATAATGTTGCTCATACTCTCGCGAGATAAACAGAGCAGTCAATTTTCTATGGAAAAATCTTATAATAATATGTTAAATATTATTTTTTTTTTTTATTAAAATTATTGTTTATAATTTAATTTGTTTCTGTTTTAAATTTAAATCTTAGCATGATTTTTTTACAATTTTACAATTTATGGCATTAAATACTTTGACCATAGTATTGTAAAGGAATCATCAGACACTAAATAATTATAGTGACTGACTAATTATACTCATGTTATGTGGAATATTCATCCAATATATATTTATAATTTGTAACATTCAAAAAGTTCAAAAATAATCAATCACACAATTTGTTGCTAACAGAATCATCCCATTGGCTTTAAAATAAACAACCCTAAATATTATCAGGTTACATATTTACGTAAATATAAAATAATATTATGATATAGATTATACTATTAAAGAGTGAACCTACTTTTTTTTTTTAAATATAAATTTCCAAATGCCATGCCAATTTGTAATGCCAATTTCGTTTTTAACTGTTCAACGTCAATTCGAACCACATAGTTTGCAGACTTGCAGTCAATTTTTATTAGTTTTTGACACTCAATATAATTTTAAATATTTTAAAATTTGATTTTTTATGTCAAGGTATGTATGATATTTGTACAAGGAGGAACTTAAATATTAAAACACTTAAAACCAGTTATGACTGGAAACTAATCTTATCATACTTTCACCTTTTATTTTTTTTCGTCTTAATACATAATAATATATACAAATAGTAGGTAACACGTTGTAGTAGGTGCCTAAGGTTTTTTCTTTTTCAAATTTTCTAATTATTGTTGTTTATTATTTTACTTGTTTCATTTGATTGAATTATAAAGCTTTCGGCAACATGTAGTTTAGTTTATTTTATTTTATTTCATTTTTTATCATAATAATTTGGCAATTGGTGTTCACAAACACCACACAAATACTTTTTATCAGGTAGTAAATATGATTCTGTAAAGATTTTTTTATTTTGACAAACATTTCAGAAATAATAAACATATATTATATAACAAACTGTACCACCTAACATAAATTATTCATTTTATTTTTAAAAAAATGTGAGACACCATTTCCAAAAAAAAAATTATTTAGTGTTTAAGTTTAATTATAACATATATTATGCATATTTAAATATTTATTTGTTTTTTATGGTTTAATGTTAAACTTGTTAATAGAAAAATGGTGTGTTGTTCATAATTCTTATGTTTAAATTATATCATTGCACAATACGTAATTAGTTTAATGACAAAACAAATTAAACAGAAATTGAAATATTTATACATAACATAAAAGTGATCATGCTCTTTTAAGGATCTAAAAATACAATATTAAGACATACTCAATGTAATGTACAACTTATTGGTCTTTAAATTTAAATATATAAAATAATTTTCAAAACTAATAATTTGTTTATAATTATAAAACTAAAGATAAATGGTGTATAAAAATTCACAATTTGTTCTTAGTTTCTATACATTTTTAATTTGTTATGTACATAACGAAAGTTATGTTTATAAATATATAATATGTATATCACATATAAGTATATCAAATATGTAAATGTTACAGTAAATATTATGTTAAACGGAAAATAACGGTTTTTTCCGGTAATTAACGTTACTGTCTACTGACCAAATACGAACTTAAGTGATTATCGTCATATATCAGATATTCACATGGATCCTAAATAATATAAGTTAAAAAACAATGCAGGCACTTTTTTTTAAATTTGAAAAATGTTTTATTAGGTATTATATTATATTATAACTTATTTGTTTTTATAAGAATTACTTCAGTGACATTAACTGTCACTAATTGTGACAACCAGTCTTGATATGGCAGCGCTTGTAGGTACCCTTGAGGATCCACAACCCAACTATTTGCTCCACAAGTGAATGACCAGTTTTCGAGCATGTATACATACGGCTTCCTTGAATTAACTCTTTCAATCACACACAAACAATATTATTATTCACTAAAAAATCAAGAGAATTCCCTCATTTGTAGCCAAATACAGTTAATGGCCTGCAAATAACGTTATTTTCCGACATATACTGTAACATAAATTTATATATATATATATACGCATTACACACATTTATAGAATTGAAACCATACTTTTAGTGAAAAAAAGGTGAAGTATATCAGTTACCTTAGTATTTAGATATAATTGCTAACGTAAAATAATTGTAAATAAGTTAATTGTAAATAAAACCATTATAATTCTGTCAGTTTTTAATGTTGATGTATATTATTATTATAGTGCAATAATGATCTGAAATTAATCCCATTCCTGAATGTCTATGTAAATTTAGTATTATTATGTAATTTTAAAATAAAAAATATTATTATATTAAAATACGTTATTATTCATTGATTTTTTGTAGCTTCCTGTACAGCAATATTATTATATTATGTATTATATAATAGTTTCACATATACTTCTGTACCTACTTCTTAAAAACGGTAAGTAAATTAGATTAAGTAGCAAAGTGAATCTAGTTTTGTACTTCGGTCAAAAGTAAAAAATTCCCAGTACCTACTTTTCACAATAATGGGGAGAAAAAACCAACAACAAAATAAATGGAGAAAAGTAGAACATTTTATGAAAAACTAATTTTTGTTAAATCCGATTTTGCTTTTTTATTGTAATTCAAAAATGATATTATAATAAATAATTCTCTAAAGTAATGAAATTTAAAAAAAAAGTGTTTCAAAACTGCATATACAAATAAAATCTATACATTAATGCATGCAATTATAATATGTGATAAAAGGGGAAAATTGTCGTTTTGTGAGTAATATGTCATCCATTAGTGACACTGTTCGCGTTTATAAGTAAAATAAAAATAAAACCATAAACCAAATGGCTATGACATGACTTTCTTTTTAGTCTGCAATGATGGTTTTCAGACTAGGGTATGTAGACACTAGCCATTTTATGAAGCCTACGATCAGAGATATTTTACTGCATTTCTAAGTTGAAGGGTTCATCATTAGTTTACATTGATTTGAATTGTTCAACATGATTATTGAGATGAACAATTGATATTAATATTTGTTTTGGATCACACAAAAAGATTATGGAAATTTTGAAATTTGGAGTTTGGAGAGATTGAATAATGTCATTTAATTTTCGTATTTCATAATCTACTGCAGTATCTAATTCCGTAGTACTAGAACTTGGAACTTCTAACTTCATGAAACTTTAGCCTTTGGGAATTTATTTTTTGTTAATAATTTACTATTCAAATATTTTATAAGTATAATTCAGTTAAAAAATGTGTAGTAGTTAAATTGCTAATCCAAATTTCGACGAGATCAATGTTATATCATTCTCTAATGCATAACTGATTTGTAGTGAAATATGTATAGCTAAAATCTCAATGAAGAGTTTTGAGAAAACAGTTAATAGATAATATTGAGATCTAGTACTACTTTGAATATAGGTTGCATGACCAGACCAACCAAAGAAAAAATTTATTATAGGGTTAGGTAAATTAAATTATACATAACTCAGGGACTAAAAATAACGTGTGTGTACAGTTAGTGCATTTAGAATTTTTACTAAATTAAATTACTTTTTACCCTACTTAACTTCTAACTTTTATAAGTAAAAAAGTACCTTTTCATTTTAAACTTTTTTCTGTATTAACTTATTATTTTAATGGATTGAAAAAATAATTAATTAGCCCAAATTGGGCTGCCCAATGTATGTAGCTTATATTAATGACTTATATGTTTAAATCATCATGACCCATATTCAAATGGAACTATTATCTTTATCTCACAAAGACAGGTACGTAACTCAAAAATTACGGATTTGAATTTCAACTTAAATAGGTACATTAACATTTTCAAATATGTAAGTCTTCCGAAAATAAATTGGTATCAATAATATAGAACACTCCTAATATGGTGTTCAAAATCTAAGGTTTTTAAAATATGGTCCTTAAATATACTTGTAAATTGCAATAATCAGAACTTCAAAATACTTATTATTAACGGGGGAAAAACAGGACTTTTACTCTCTAGACGAATCACCTTGTACATCAAATATTTTTTTATAACTACCTGTGAGGTAAATAATAATATACGCAAAATGTTTGGTAATATTTAAAAAATAATTATTTAGTGTTGACACGCTGTTTGTGAGTAATAAGAGTTCATCCTTATTTTTAATTTATTCTATAAACAAACAAACCAGATAACTTTTTAAGATCAACGAACATTGAATTTATTCAATTACTTATAGTATAATTATTCAAATGACATGCCTCTTCCCCTTATCGTTATACTTCATGGCCACAGTCACGTATTATACATGTAAACTATTACAAAACAGCTTTAAAATATATATACAAAATATAATCATATATATTTGGATAAATTAAATCGTGCATTTTTGTATTTTGTGGACATTGTATGATATAACGATATGATGTGTGTATTATCTAGGACATACTACGTATATAATAATACTGTTTTTTTAACAGCAAACACTCATTATTTCGATGAATATTTAAATTTTTATAATTTTTTGTTTTACTTAATAATGAGAAGTCATTCTAAAACAACATTTTTGAGGGACAGAATTTGAGGGCAGTACTGGGCCATCCTAATTTCCAGGGTGCCACTATGATATTTTTAAAATATTTATTCAAAATTTGATTACATGAATTATTAAAATTATTGAAAATATATTCCGTTTTATAATAATAAGTGTGAAATTATAAATTCATGTTTGCATGATAGAAATAAAAATAATACATATATGATAACGATGTAAGACGATGTAACTATTTTTTTTTTTTGTAATAACTTAAAATTATGTAAAAAAATATTTTGAAAAACGTTAATGCTTTACAAAATAATGAATATTTTCTGTTAAGAGAATCACTCAGTATAATATACCTATATGTTTCCTATTGTTATCCACTCCAAAGTTCAAGTATCCCAAACACTCTCAGTGTCTTGTTAAAATGCACGTTTCTATCGCTGTGTTTTTACCAAGGCTCAAAAAAAACGTCAATTTTCACTGGAGTGTGACTATACCCAGTGATATATGGTGATTCAGAAATAAATAGTTTAATAAATACCTAAGTCGTTTTACTTCTCAATACAATACGATGTTACATTGGTGCATAAAAGGAAAAAGTATAACAATATGCCACTCATCCTAAAACTAGGTACGATAAGTACATTTTCCTACATGATCAATTAATATTTAATGCATGCGTTTAATTCATTTTTTTTTTAAATTATACTTAAATGTATAGTTACAAAAATACAATAATCATATTATTATGTGCAACTTCGATATGGTATGACTTAAAAAAAGTTTAAATTTAAATTTTTTCAAAATCACGAATTACTTTGTAGACACGTTTGTTCCGCTAAGAATCGTTTTTTATCGTATGTATTCAATGATTTATCATTGAATTGAAATTTAACACATCCATCTCTCTGTAATGATCAGCTTAACTGGTTTTTCAAAAATTTAATTTACTAATTAATGATTTAGTGACTTATGTAATTTTTTATATAATTGTGGTTAGTTACGTTTGTCAGATATTTTCTTTACAAACAAAAGATTTAATTTACTTTATAGTAAAAACCATTTGGGTTTTAACAATGCATGTTGCATCTGTGCAACAACGTAAGAGGATGAAAACAGACTAAATACATTTTAAAAGAAAGATGTTCAGGAAAATATTTCGCCCAATCAATAACCGTGATATCCACGTACGGAAGAAGGTCAAACGAACAAGTTCAGCAATTATATGGAAAAGAAAGTGTAATACAATTTGTAAAATAATCAAGATTTGAGTGAACAGGCTGAAGAGCAGATAACAGCATTGTCTAGACTGTACTTGTGAACAAATTGGACAGAAAAAAACTTCGTAGTAGGCTGAAGCAACCGGTTGCTAGATGTGCGAGGTGAGGTGTAGTTAAATGACGACATGCAAGAGCTGAGACCAGATTAGCATGAAAGCATAAACCATGCGTACAATAGAGAGGAGT